CACAAATATCTATCTTACAGTTACAAGTAAGTTTCATACAACTACAGATCTGGAGATACAAATACCTAGCTTACAGTTATGAGTAAGTTTCATACAACTACAGATCAGGAAATACAAATATCTATCTTACAGTTACGAGTAAGTTTCATACAACTACATCCATGAGCTTCACTATCAAGTTATGCTAAGGAAAGATGAATTTTTCGTTTAGATTTCATAATAGCATAAACAACGATGAAATAAGTATAAAACTGTTAGAAGAAAAATACAATGTCAATGTTTTGATCAAATGGCCTTTTCAGGTTGATGATAGTTTGGATTGAAATTTTTAAATAAATTTCTCTCTTTTTCCTTTTCAGTAATATTTACATGCCAATTTACCCACAGCCTACTAAACTATCCAAGATATATAATCTTGCTATCATTTTTCTAGTTCTGCATATTTAACACTTCAAAATATCTGTAAATACACACAGCAAATAAAATTTGTATTTTCAATCTATCCCTCAAGTGTGATGTCACTATAATGTAGTTTTCAAATAATTTACTGCATCTACCAGTAGTTACTTGAATTAAACTTACTTAAAATATTTTACATTTGGAGGGTTTGTCACACGTTATAAAAAGGATTCACATTGCTAATGCAATGGTGCGTTGTGAGCATCAGCACAATGTTTAGCATCTATATACTGGTTCACAGCAAATAACTAACCATTATATAGTGCAATGCTGCCATGAGTATACTTATGTCTGGAGGACTATGTCACAGCTCTTTACAAGGAAAAATGTTCATAAAGCAGAATAGCAGAGATTTAAAGCCTAGAACACAACTGTTAAGGGGAAATAAGCAGACAAATATGAGCAAACAAGACTATTTAACTAGGTTCCAATCATATGCAGGTATGTTACAGAACACTAATGCTTCCCGAAATTGCTAACAAATTACACATACAACACTATTTATGAAAGGTAGAAATTTGTTGTAACACTGGGCTATTTCTAGATGTACTGGAATGACAACAAGAAACAAGCGATATACTACAGACAATGAGGTGTAAGGACTTTCCATCGTGACAGTTACTTCTTTATTGAGTTTTATGATGTAGGTTTTCATATCTACTGACTATCAGGAGAATGTACTGACAATTATGTGTGGTCAAGAAGGTATAGCTACATCAGGATAATAAGGTACATGAGGTTTTCTGTTTTTGTAAATCACAGACTGTCTTTTTAATTAAGAAATAAACAAAAAGGTACAAAATTAAAGAAGAAAGTTTAGTTGTTTAACAAAAGTTTAGGTTTATTTGTCTGTTTTGGATATTTGCACAAAGCTATATAATTTTGAAATAACAGATTACAAGGAAGCCAGCTAGTCAACAGTAAATAACATCATGTCTTGAAGTAATCTAATTACAAGGAAGCCAGCTAGTCAACAGTAAATAACATCATGTCTTGAAGTAATCTAATTGAATAGTAGGATTTGACTATCTGTATTATAATACACATCCAAGCCTACAAAGTATAGAATTAAATGCTGTGGTAATGAGATGTGAGCCTTGGACCCTTAAATTCACAGTCCACCATACTAATCACTAGGCACAAAATGGTAACAAAAGGAGCCAATATCCTTACATATTCAACAAATAAAATGTTGATTAAGCAAGTGAAACCAAGGCCTATTGATATTCTTGAACACTATGGATTAAGTAACTTGGTAAAAACCCTTATTTTACAAACACTACTGTTGCAATGAAACTTATTCCATGCTAATATAGATTCAGATACTACAAAAAAACTGTTAACAACACACGAATTAAACCTTAAACCATGATGTTATAGCTTATAATATTATAAAGTAATTTAAAGTCCAGAAAAGTGTAAGCAGTATAGCATCTGTTGAGTCAGTTTACAAGGTTAAGTTATGAACTGAAATTCATAAAATTCAAACTGAGCATTGGAAAGAAAGTAGGAGTCATGAGAAAAATATTAAGTTAGTAGGTATACCAGTAGGTAAGTAGGTATACCAGTAGGTATGTAGGTATACCAGTAGGTATGTTGGTAAGTATACCAATAAGTAAGTAGGTATACCAGTAGGTAAGTAGATATACCAATAGGTAAGTAGATATACCAGTAGGTATGTAGGTATACCAGTAGGTATGTAGGTATGTTGGTAAGTATACCAATAAGTAAGTAGGTATACCAGTAGGTATGTTGGTAGGTATACCAATAAGTAAGTAGGTATACCAGTAGATATGTTGGTAAGTATACCAGTAAGTTAGTAGGTATACCAGTAGGTAAGTAGATATACCAGTAGGTATGTTGGTAAGTATACCAATAATTAAGTAGGTATACCAGTAGATAAGTAGATATACCAGTAGGTATGTTGGTAAGTATACCAATAATTAAGTAGGTATACCAGTAGATAAGTAGATATACCAGTAGGTATGTTGGTAAGTATACCAATAAGTAAGTAGGTATACCAGTAGGTATGTTGGTAGGTATACCAGTAAGTAAGTAGGTATACCAGTAGATATGTTGGTAAGTATACCAGTAAGTTAGTAGGTATACCAGTAGGTATGTTGGTAAGTATACCAGTAAGTTAGTAGGTATACCAGTAGGTAAGTAGATATACCAGTAGGTATGTAGGTATGTTGGTAAGTATACCAATAATTAAGTAGGTATACCAGTAGGTAAGTAGATATACCAGTAGGTATGTAGGTATGTTGGTAAGTATACCAATAATTAAGTAGGTATACCAGTAGATAAGTAGGTATGTTGGTTCGTATACCAGTAATTAAGTAGGTATGTAGATATGTTGGTTCGTATACCAGTAGATAAGTAGGTATGTAGGTATATTAGTAAGTATACCAGTAATTAAGTAGGTATGTTGGTTCGTATACCAGTAAGTAAGTAGGCATACCAGTAGGTCAATAGGTATGTTGGTAGGTATAGCAGTAATTAAGTTGGTATATTGGTAGGCATACCAGTAGGTATGTAGGTATGTTGGTAAGTATACCAATAATTAAGTAGGTATACCAGTAGGTAAGTAGATATACCAGTAGGTATG